ATGATAACCATTTTGATATACAACAATAAATTAATCCATTTTATTTTACATGTTTAGAGGTGTCTTCTGTTGTTGTTTTGGAAGCTGGAATGACATCCACTTCCTAAATGGCATGCCTCTGGAAGGAAACTCCATGAACTTTGAGAAATAATAGTTATAGAAAGGCTTCAGGTCTTTTGTTCATAGGGTCGCTATGAGGCGTGCTCAACTTGAAGGCAATCAACAACAACTGTTGTTTTTATATGCTGCTAAGTCAATCCTAACTCACAGTGACTATATGAACAACGGATCTCGACTCTGCCCTATCCTATATCAGAGGAGATGAAATTCCCCCCGGGAATCCCTAGGCAGGAGACACAGAAGGGCAACCTGGATCAGTTCCATGTTCCAGTTCATGGTAAATCACCACTCAGCAGAACTTAAGGATTGAGCAAAGGGACAGGCAAGCAGCATGAGCCTAGTATGCAAGGGTGTAGGGGAAGCCTGGACCTCCAAGACTGGAAGGTCACATGCAGAGACAAGCACTGAACATTGTTCAGTTCCTCAGAGCATGGGAGTGTTGACAGGCTCCGGGCCCCTCTGGAAGGAAAGTCTGACATACATGGTCATCTCCGGACTCTCTTTCTGTCAAGCACTGCTTTTCCTATCAAGATGCCACAGAAAGGAAGGATGCTGAAGGACCATAAATATTACTGTTACCTGAAGACTTTGAGTTTGGGGGAAACTTGAGGGACAACGAAGCAAAATTGGTTATCAATATATTTGAAAGCTGGTTGCACAGACACTTGGGAAGAAACAATCTAACAAATTCTGATTGAGGGACCTCATGCTCGGAAGGCTGTGCTTTGACATGAAGGCAGGATTATTGTAACTATAGTATGTTCAATGGAACAAGCTTGCCTTCCGCAGCCCTCACATGGTTGTGATCTCTGTGCTCATTCTAAGACAGATCCAGGGATGGGGCATCTACTTACTTAATCCGAGCTGCGCTACTTCTTCCAGCTGAGCCTCCGTCTTGGCTGTTGAAACAGCATAAGGCAACTTCAAGGTGAATGGCAGAACATCTCTGATTTTCCAGAAAAAAGAAAATATTTGTCATGTCTTCTTTCTGTTTCTTGATTTATCCTAAAGTTACTTTTTTAAAAAAAGGTTTATTCTTAATTATTTACAAAGTTTGAATATATTATTTTTCACACAAAAGTGACTTTTATTTTTTTAAAAGACAATTCACTGTACACATTTTATTTACATTTTTGTACACTGTCTTAATATGAATGGGACCGCTTTTCTATTGAGCCATTTTAACCAAAGCAAAATAACCTAAGTAATACTTTTTTAACAAAACTGTTTAAAAGGTTCTAACTACCTATCATACTATAATCAACTAGAACTTTTAGGACCAATATTTATTATTCCTTCCAGTATTTCCACATTTAGAAAAGGCTAAAAGAGAATGCCTTGTGGATTCAGGATCTATGGTGGGAATTGAATTTTTCTGCTGTTGCTATGTGCCATCGAGTCCTTTCCGACTCATAGCGACCCTACGCACAACAGCTCTAAACCCTGCTCTATCCTGCGCCAACTGCACCGCCTCTGACACACCCATCCCGATTACCCCAGTCACCGAATCGATCCATCTCATAGAGGGTCTTCCCCTCCTGCACTGTCCCTCCACCCCCCCAAGCATGATGTCTCTCTCCAAGGACCCATCCCTCCTGGCAACATGTCCAAAGTATGTCAGACGAAGCCCCAGAATCCTTGCCTCCAAGGAGCAGCTTGGTTTAATCCTCTCCAAGATGAATCTGTTTGTTTTCCTGGCAGTCCATGGTACATTCAGTACCCTTCTCCAGCACCACAGCTCAAAAGCATCCACTCTCCTTCTGTCCTCCCTAGTCATTGTCCAACTCTCTGATGCATAACAAGCGATTGCAAATACCATGACCTGTATCAGGCGCACCTTAGTCTCCAGAAAGATACTGTTGCTCCTGAGTACCTTTGAGAGGTCCCTAACGGCAGACTTTCCCATTGTGATACGCTTTTTTACTTCCTGACTGCTGGTACCAAGAGTGTTGACTGTGGAGCCGAGCAAACTGAAGCTGTGAACACTCTCAATCTCTTCGTCATCCATCCTGACGCTGCCAATTGGTCCAGTGGCGAGAATCTTTGTCTTCTTGACGTTGAGCCTTAGTCCATACTGAAGGCTGCAGTCCTTGACCCTTCGCAGCAAGTGCATGAGGTCCTCTTCAGTTTCAGCAAGCAAGGTTGTGTCATCTGCATAACGGAGATTGTTAATAGATCTTCCACCAATCCTGATGCCACAATTCTCCTCATAGAGCCCAGCCTCTCGGATAATCTGCTCTGCATACATGTTGAAAAGGTATGGAGACAGGATGCATCCCTGGCGCACACCCTTCCCAATTTTGAACCATGCAGTGTTACCCTGCTCTGTTCTGACTACTGCCTCTTGGTCCAAGTATAGGTTTCGTATTAGCACAATTAAATGTTCTGGGATTCCCATTCTTCTCAGAGTCAGCCACAGTTTGTTATGATCCACACAGTCAAATGCCTTTGCATAATCAATGAAACACAGATAGACATTCTTCTGGTATTCCCTGCTTTCAGCCAAGATCCATCTTACATCAGCAACGATGTCCCTAGTACCACGGCCCCTTCTAAACCCAGCCTTGACTTCTGGCAGTTCTCTGCTGATGTGCTGTTCTAATCGTTTTTGGATGATCTTCAGCAGAATCTTGCTTGCATGTGAAATCAATGACACTATTCTGTAGTTTCCACACTCAGTTGGGTCACCTTTCTTTGGAATGGGAACAAATATAGATCTCTTCCAGTCAGTTGGCCAAAACCACCTAACCTTAATAATATTAGAAGTACTATGTTAGTGGATTTATTACACATATATATCTCTCACTCTGGTGGTGGTGGTAAGAAGCTGCACTGCAATTCCAAAGGTATACATTTCGAACCCACCAGCTGCTCCATAGGAGAAGGATGGGCAGACTCCTCTTGTGTGATTAACTGCCTCTATAAACCTGCTGGTGAGTCAGCTATGAGTCGGTTCTGACTCAATGGCACACAACAACAATCAATCAATCAATCTAGACATAAATTATATATAATCTAGACATAAATTACATATCTGTAATCTAAACACTTTGAGTTGTCCATGGGTCTTGGCCCACAGTCAACCAGATACAGGCAGGGAGAAACTGTTTAATGGATGAATGAATGACTATCAATAATGACAAGAGCGACTTACCCAGTGGTGGTAACGTTTTTAAGAATTTTTTCATTCATTCACTCAAATTCTAGGCACTGTTTCAGGTGCAAGTAGCAAAATTCCTGCCTTCATGGAATTTCAAACCAGTGGATGATAAATTATAGAGTATGTAAGAAGGGAGAATGCACTTGGCTAAGAAGATAGCACAAGAGATGGAAAACCAATTTGCTTTGTCAATTTCACTCAAACTGCATTTTTTTTTCTTTTTTAAAGGGAAATAAAGCACAGGAAGACAAAGCATGTGAGAGTACTAGGAGGTGATGAGGGAAGGCCACATTGAGAAAGTGGCATTTTACTAAAGACCTGAAGGAGGCCGAGAGGTGCTATAGCCCACAGGGAGCTGCTCTGCTAACCCAAAGGTGATGTCTCTCTAGTAGTTTGAATCTACCAGCTGTTCTTCAGGGGCAAACTGGACAATCTCCCACGTTATTTACTTGCTATGTGTCATCAAGATGGAACAAACTCATAGTGATCCTCCAGCAGGTTTACAGAGGCTATAAATTACACTAGAGAAGATGGCTCATCTTTCTCCTGTGGAGCAACCAGTGGATTTGAACTGCATACCATTCATTTGGCAGTGCAATGCCTTACCATTAAATCACCACAGGCTCCTGGAAACCCCTTGGAGAGTCAGCTACGAGTCTGCCCTGAAACAACAGCAATGAGTTGAGTTGCATTGAAGGGAGGCCAGAGGATGAGACTTCAAAGAGAGGGCATTTCGGGCACAGTAAGCTGCAGGTTCTGAGGCCCTGAGCGGAAGAGTCTGGCAAGTGTGAAGGACAGCAGAGGTCACCACTGGTGGCCAGGGTGGAATAAATGAGGGGCAAAATTTAGGGTTCTGCCTGCATTTTGTCAACACACGATGTCATGAAAATGCCCGTTGAGAGTATAACTATTCTAAATAAATTACTTGTTTATAAAAGATAGGGTAACAGTCTAGACTGAAGCAGATAAATCTAGACAATGGCACTTTTTGGACTCCTTAAAGCTGTTGACAGAGAATAACAAAGTACATTGAAAGAACAAACATGAATAAAATTTACCAGGTTCACCAAATGCCCTCACATGCTGCTTATATTCAGCTGTCAATCTGGTATCTGGCAGCCAGCAGAGTGTCCTCTGTTTTGGAGGTCAAGCACAGCTCACCTCTTGTTCCATGAGGCTCTGCTGTGTGTCCAAATGTCAGAAGCACTACCTGTGTCTGTGTCCTCTGTTTTGGAGGTCAAGCACAGCTCACCTCTTGTTCTATGAGGCTCTGCTGTGTGTCCAAATGTCAGAAGCACTACCTGTGTCTGTGTCTGCTGTATTTGTTCTCAACCAAGCAAGTGAAGCCCCAGAGGATGGGAGGCATAGCCTGCTTGCCAGTGAGAGGCAGCAATGCTGATCAGAACCTTAGATGAAAACTGGAAAGGAGAACTTGGTAACATTGAAGGGTCTATCATTCAAACAGATGCTTGTATGGCTTGTAATTAAAATCTGCTTTCTTCAGACAGTTTAGGGGGTAAGGGTACAAGTGGCAAAAACAATCTAATTCTTAAAATTTTTACCTTATTCAGTGCAGTATCTGGGGCATAAACATCACATGAGTTTTTCCCGACTTAATGACATATATGACAGGAAGCCACACCTGTAATTCACTAATAGATGGTTGTAAGCTTTGATAGACTAGAAAATAAGATGTTATACACAAGCCTGTTGTGCCAGCAATGGTTATGTCACAGCTCCTTCTTCCCACAGACATGCAAAGGGGGCACCTCCTTCTTAACCTACCCACTTAAGGTAGTAGAAGAAATAAAGCCATCATCTTTGAAACAGATGTTTCCCCTACGAGATTCAGTGCATACATAATCTAGATATTTATTAATAGTATTATTTACTGTATGTATCATAGTTCTAAAGGAGGGGAAACTCGTATTAACACCGGTGGCATTTTTTTTCCCCACATGCAGCCTACATTCAATTCTGGGAAGAAGTTTTGATCCCTCGTTTCCACAGGTCCTGAACAAAAGAAGTTCCTGGCACACATGTACAGAGCTGATGGGTAAGATGGGGGCAAATGGAACTCAGTTGTGTTTGACCCCAAAGTCTGTGCAGGTGGGTAGTGGGGAACATACGGGCTTTGACATTTAAAACCAGCCTGGAGTCAAGTCCCATATCACCTACTTATTAACTGAGAGACTGGGTAAGTCATGCCCTTCCTCTGAGCTTATGGGTCCCGATTGGTTTAAACAACAGACTTCCAGCCCACACCTGATTGTTAACTAAACCAAAACAACAAAGCAGCTTATACATAATTGTTAACTAAATTAAAATGACCAAACAGTTTACACAGTTGTGGCTGACATTGAGAAGAATGGGAAGCCCAGAGCACTTAATTGTGCTCATGTGAAAACTATACCTAAACCAGGAGGCTATTGTGTGAACAAAGGAGGGGAATACTGCATGGTTTAAAATTAAGAAGGGGGGAAAAAAATAAAATTAAGAAGGGAGTGTGTCAGGACTATATTCTCTCTCCAGACTTATTCAATCTGTACGCTGAGCAAATTTTTGAAGAAGCTGGACTCTATGAAGAGGAATGTGGCATCAAGATTGGAGGGAGATTCATCAATAACCTGCACCATTCAGATGACCACAATCTTGCTTGCTAAAAATGAGGAGGACTTGAATGAAGCATTTGTTGCAGAAGATCAAGGAATATAACCTTTGGTATAGATTGCATCTCAGGGTTAAGAAAACAAAGATTCTTACCACTGGACGGATAAGCAACATAATGATGGATGGAGAGATTTAAACTGTCAAAAACTTCATCTTGCTTGGATCCACACTTAACACCCTTGGTACCAGCAGTGAGGAAGTAAAGATGTGCACTGCACTGGGAAAGTCTGCAGTTAGGAACCTCTTCAAATTACTGAAGAGCAATGATATCAGTTTGAGGACTAAGGTGTGTCTGATTAAGACTATGATCCTTCCGATCACCTGCTATGCATCTGAGAGCTAGACAATGTCTAAAGATAACAGAAGAATCGATGCCTTTGAACTGTGGTGTTGGAGAAGAGCACTGAACATCCCATGAATGGCAAAAAGAACAGATATGTCTTGGAGAGCATGCAGTCAGAGTGCTCTTTGGAGGCAAGGATGATAAGGCTTCACCTCATACACTTTGGGCATGTTGCTTGGAGAAGGATATAATGCTTGGAAGAGTTAAGGATCAGTGAAGAAGAGGAAGACCTTCAACCAGGTGGAACCAGTGACTGCCACAATGGGCTCTAGTGTGTCAGGTAGTGTGAGAAAGGCACAGGATAGGGCAGGATTCAAATTTGTTGTTTATAGGGTTGCTATAAGTCGTATGTGATGGCACCTAACAACATCACTTCCCGTGCAAATGATGTGCCTTTGGCCAAAAGCATTGGCATTCTCTGGGAGTTTGTGAGAAATGCAAAATTTCAGGCTTCACTCACATTTCCTGAAGCAGAACCCACTCTTTAACAAGACCATTGGGAAGTCACAAAACTCAAAAGATTCATAGCTGACCCTCCAGGGGATTTTCAGAGGCTGTAAATTACAAGGGAAGAAATTGTTCCTCTTTCTCCTGCAGAGCAGCTGGAGGATTCAAACAGCCCACCATTAGTTTGGCGTGCTGTTTCCTGCTCACTAGGTATCCAGTGATCCCTCTGGAGAGTCTAATAAATGGCAAATCTTGAAAGGCACTGCTTTGCACTATAGTGAGTATGTCAATTTACAAAGAGACATTGACGGGAGCTCTGGTGGCTCAGTGCCAAGGAATTGTACTGTCAATCCAAAGGCACATGGTTTGAATTTGCCAGCTGCTCTCTGGGAGAACGATGAACAGTCTCCTCCGAAAACCCACTGGAGGGTCAGCTATGAGTTGGTTCCATCTTGACAGTTCCCAACAGCACCACCCAGGCATTGAAGGGGCCCTGAATGCAGTGAGCAAACACTTAGCTAAGTCAAAGTTCAGTGGTATACGCCCATAAACCACTCTGTGAAAGAGGTGGAAATGTTTCCCATAAACCACTCTGTGAAAGAGGTGGAAATGTTTCCATAATGAATACAGTCTTGTAAACATTAAAGGACAGTTCTACCATGCTTACTATGTCCCGAGGAGTCACTGTAAATCAGAATCAACTGGATAAGAAGTCAGAATTGGTTTGATTTACCAGGCACTGAAGGAGCCCCGGCGGTGCAACTCCAGAAGCTAAGCAAAAAGTCATCATTTAAACCTATCATTGGTTTCATGGGAAAGAAAAATCTTGTGATCTGTTCCCATAAAGATTACAGACCAGAAATCCCAATGAGGCCGGCCCCCTCTGTCTCTGGGGTCACCTGAGTAGGACTTGGCTTGATGGACTGAGGGCAGTGGGATGGATGCCTGCCTTCTATGCCTGAGTCCTAGGATTTATTCTCAGCCCTCATGCATAGACCCCACTGTGTTTACCTGGGGTGTAGTGGGGGCTGCATGTTGATGTGATGTGATGTGATGTGATGTGATGTGATGTGATAAAGGCTTCAGGGAAGCTTTCAGACCATGGATCACTGATTCTGTTAGCATGAGTTAGGATCAGAGCTAACTATAGTACAAAAAGAAACCCATTGCAGTCAAGCTGGAATGAATACATAGCTGAGCCTTCAGTGGAAATCCCATGTGGCGCTTGCCCGTGGAGCAGCTAGAGGACTCACACCATCAGAGCTGCTGCGTTCCGGTTACCAGCACAGCGCTCTGTGGACTGTGCCACCGGAGCTAAGCACAGCAACATCAGTAGTCAGGTTTGTTGTTCCTGTGCATCCTCCCCTGGACTTTGCCCAGTGTGCCCATCACTCAGTGAATTCTCTACGCAGGAGCTTATTTGTAAAATACCAAACCTGATAATCTACTCACTCTCTCCATCTGAATATACTTGTGAACTAACAAACAAAAACATTTCAAACATAACATAACAAGATTGGATCAAATCAACTATTGGTGATAGAACACATACTGAGGTCAATAACAGCATATTGTTGTTGTCTGCGGTTGAATAAAAACTGACTCACAGCTAACTCTCTTGCAGGTGTTCAGAGATGGCAACTGCATGAAAGAAATGATCGTATTTCTTCCGGGGAGCAGTTGGTGGCTTCAAACCACCTGCCTTTAGGTTGGCAGCTCGACTCTACCTACTAGGCCACCAGTGCACCCTGACAGCATGTAATATTAAAGAAGAAACAAAACTCTAAGGACCTTTCCTTGCCTTTTGAAAAATGAAGACGACTCAGGTTCTCAAACACAGTATCTGTTTTGTTTTTTATGAACAGTAGGCATTTGTATCAGACTGTATGGTTTGCAAAAGCTGCAGTGTACTTAATATCCCTCCTTGGTCAAGCAGCCCTGAGCAAAGATAGTGTGGTCTGTTAGGGATCAGAATGGTATCTTTGCTATGTTTGATGCTAAGTATTGTTTTGTAGGTGTAACACTCTTTTCCAAGAAAAGGTCAATTACCAACAAGCAAACAATGAAGAGGCTTAAACAGGCCCACTTCCCCTTGGACATTCATGGTGACACTGCAATTCATCCCCTTCACCAGGTCAGACTCAGACCCACCAGATGTGGTCCTGTGGGGAGGGGTTGGGCCTCTGCTTCTACACAGCTTACACTCTTCCTGTAGCACTATTCCCTACAACAGCTCTGGGATCCTGCCCAAAACGGGTACGTGGGAGTTCACAGGGCATTTGGTACATGTGTATATGGAGATCTGGGTTTATTCCTGGTAAACAGTGACTGAGCTATCATTGGAAAGTGGCTCCCCAGCACCACTTGGTCTCTGATCATGTGGATCTAGCTGGGCAGATCTCCAGGAAGGAGACAGCTTTCTGGAAAGGTCTAGCCCATTAAGTATAAGGAACACACAGATGCAATGAATGTACAAAAATGGAACATTCAGTCTTTGAGAAATAACCTGCCTAGAACTTTGGGAGTTTTGGTGACTTAGTGGTAAGGAGCTGTGCTGCCAGCCTGAAGATACACAATTCAAATCTACCAGCTGCTCCATGGGAGAAAGATGGGCAATCCCTCTCCTGTGATTTACCACCTCTGAAAACTTGCTGCAGGGTCAGCTATGAGTCAGTTAACAGTATACAACATCAATAAATCCTTAAAGTAAAAGAGGCCAAGCTCAAAGATCCACCACAGCCTAAGTGTGTGACTGTTGAGAAAATAATCCTCGTGGCACATTCCCAAGTGTCCCCTAAACCCAGTCACCATTAGCAAACAGAAGAGCTAAGGGACTGAGGAAGTCCAGTGGACCTCATGAACAGGTGGACCGTGCGGACAGGTGGCAGTGCCAGTCTGAACATCCGCATCTGATTCTGAGTCATGAAGCAAAACAAATCAATGTTTTGATCTAAATGTTTTAAATAAAAACATTTTTAAAAGGATGCCTTCCACAACTTATATCCTCTTGACACATTAATATTTGTGGCTTAACTTCACCTAGACAAAAACAGTCACCTCAGGTATGAAAAGGGACGTAAGCATCTGATCTGCCTCAAGTATAATAATGGGAGATTTACAGGAAGGTGTAAGGATGTAAAGGGAAGCCCATCACTGGGAGTGTTCACAATGTCACCTGGGCCCTTTCAGTGTTACAGTGTGGAAGGACTGATCCCTCTGAGTCTATAGCATGGCTAATGTCTCTAATATGGGGGTGTGTGCACACATGTAAGACTGTATGAACATCTGTGCAGGAGAACGTGTGTATGGGGTGTGTGTGTGTGTGTACATTTTTTGTTTTAATGGATCCAGTTGAAAGGATCCCAAAGGCAGCTGGAAAAAACAATCACATTAGGTCATAGGCAGTGGTTCTGATCTTAAGCCTTAGACACGGTGAACATTTTATTTTGGTTTGAATAACTTCACAGAGATCCAATATATGACAAGTCTCCCAACACACTATCCTGCTTCAATGAGAAGCCCAGGCTGGCCACTGCACACACCAAAGAGGTCCCTGGAGCAGGAGAGGAGGAGGCTTACCTGCTGATGCAGTAGAAAGCAATGAGCCGGAATAAATCTGCAAAACTGATTCCTGAGCCTTCCAGGGAAAAGGCTGAAAGAGAGATTTCAGAAACCAGCTGAGTGTTCTGAGAAAGGAAGGGCCTTCCCCTGTAATGTCCTGTTGAGCAGAACCATCTTAGTTCTCCTGCAGCCCCAGGGCAGGCCAGCTGCAGGGAACCACGTCAGCTGGAGCCAGCCCGCCTGGCAGCCCTGGCCTGACTCATCACCACATGTTCCCCCTGCTTGGTAAACAGAGGAGGGCAGATCAGGTTGCACAATGATCTTTCCTTTAAAGTTCAGAAAACAGACTTGGGCAGGGGGCAAAGAACCAGGACGGAGGAGGGGGTGGGCAACAGCACATGATCCACCTGGGGATGCCGAACTCCCCACTCCCACCATGGTCATGCTGGCCTGTGCCAAAGCTTTGGTAAGGGCACAGACAAGATCCAAAGCTTTGAAGACATAACAGGCTTATGCAAACCAGTTTTTGGCTAAACTTAATAGGAAAGGTTCTAAAACTTACTTGCTTAGGGTTTTCTCCAAATGCAGTTTCCCAAACAGAAGGAGTGTGCTGACCAACTGTGTGTCATCTGTGCATTTTCTAACTGGCAAGGCCACAACACTTCCACCTAAAGCACCCAAGTGCACCGCCTGCTAGGTATGCTCAAGCTCCTATTCTTCCAAAAACATCCAGAGCCCCTCAATGTTATGAATAGTTCCTCATTTCAACAGCCTGATGAGTTTCCTCCCTTTTGTACATCCTATGTCCTACTTATGTTAATATTTTCACTTATTTAGTATTTCTGAGGCACCCCAAAGCACATCTTAAACTTACACCATCCCCTTCTGACACATGCACCACACTAACAGAGACAGAGATGCACACAATTTGGTTACATATTGTTATTGTTGTTGTTGATATGTGCTGTTGAGTCACTTGCAACTCATAGCGACCCTATGTACAACAGCCCTAAACCCTGCTCTATCCTGTGCCAATCTCACTGCCTCTGACACACCCAAACCGATTACCCCAGTCACTGAATCAATCCACCTCATAGAGGGTCTTCCCCTTCTGCGCCATCCCTACACCCTCCCAAGCATGTCCCTCTCCAAGGACCTGTCACTCCTTATAACATGTCCAAAGTATGTCAGATGAAGTCTCAGAATCCTTGCCTCCAAGGAGCAGCCTGGTTTAACCCTCTCCAGGATAAATCTGTTTGTTTTCTTGGCAGTCCAGGGTACATTCAATACTCTTCTCCAGCAACACAGCTCAAAGGCATCAATTCTCCTTCTATCCCCCCTAGTCATTGTCCAACTCTCTAATGCATAACAAGTGATAGCAAAGACCATAGCCTGTATCAGACACACCTTAGTCTCCAGAGTGACACCATTGCTCTTCAGTACCCTGGAGAGGTCCCTAACAGCAGACTTTCCCATCACAATACGTTTTTTTATTTCCTGGCTACTGGTGCCAAAAGTGCTGACCGTGGAGCCAAGCAGACTAAAGTTGTTAACAATCTCAATCTCTTCACCATCCATCCTGATGCTGCCAATTGGTCCAGTGGTGAGAATCTTTGTCTTCTTGACATTGAGCCTCGATTCATACTGAAGGCTGCAGTCCTTGACCCTCTGCAGCAAGCATTTCAGGTCCTCCGAGGTTTTAGCAAGCAGGATTGAGTCACCTGCATAATACAGATTGTTGATATATCTTCTACCAATCCTGACGCCGCACTTCTCCTTATAGAGCCCAGCCTATTGGATAATCTACTCAGTATACAGGTTGAAAAGGTATGGAGATAGGACACATCCCTGGCGTACACCTTTCCCAATTTTGAACCATGCTGTATTTTCTTGCTCTGTTCTAATGACTGCCTCCTGGTCCATGTATAGGTTTTGCATTAGCACGATCAAGTGTTCTGGGATTCCCATTCTTCTCAGAGTCAGCCACAGTTATGATCCACACAGTCAAATGCCTTCGCATAATCAATAATGAAACACAGATATACATTCCTCTGGTATTCCCTGCTTTCAGCTAAGATCCATCTAATATAATATCCCTAGTACCACGACCTCTTCTAAATCCAACCTGGATGTCAGGGCCTGGCTAACCTGCAAAACAGGATCAGCAATGCTATGTAAAAACAGCAGGACCACTCATCTTGGCTTGACCATCCCTTCTATAGTAAACAACTCCAGGAAGCAGTATGCTAATGAATAAGGAGTGACCAAAGGCCTCAGAATTCTAGGAATGTGATACCTTCTTGTTTTCCAATAGATATCATAGGATATCCCAGAGGATGTTTTTGTTTTGTGTTGAGGTCTGGGAATGTTTGATCTACCAGTCAACATCTCCGACAGATAAGAAATAATGCAATTACCCCTGCAGGTATGTTCCTAAGATGTATATATATACCCTTGCCAGAATATTAAACTTGCTATTTGTCATCAGCAATTAGCCTCTGGCGGAATTCTCCCAACATATTGGGGCTGGATCCCCGATACCTGGACTTCTGGCAGTTCTCTGCTGATGTGCTGTTCCACTCATTTTTGGATAATCTTCAGTAGAATCTTGCTTTCATGTGAAATCAATGATATTGTTCTATAGTTTCCATATAGTTTCTGTTGGATGTCAAATGTATATCATCCAGGAAGAGTGTAAATGGTCATTACAAAAACAGAAGAGAAAAAAAAGACCAAAATGAATGTCAGAAGAAACTCTGAAGATTGCACTGAAGTGCAGAGAAGCCAAAGCACAATACTGAAGAGCTGAACAGAAGATTTCAAAAGGCAGCATGGAATGACGAAGCAAAATATTACAATGAAATGTGCAAGGAGTTGGAGTCAGAAAATCAAAAGGGCCGAACTCGTTCAGCATTTCTTAAGCTCAAGGAACTGAAGAACAAATTCAATCTTTGAGTTGCTATAATCAAGGATGCTTTTGGCAGAATGTTAAATGATCCAGGAAGTATTAAAAGAAGATGGAAAGAATATACTGAGTCACTGTATCGAAAGGAATTGGCAGACACAGAAGAATTTAATGAAAAAACATATGAGCAAGAGTCTATGGTGTTGAAAGAAGAAGTTCAAGCTGCTTTGAAGGAAACAGCAAACAATAGGCCCCAGGAATAGATGGTGTACCAATTGACATATTTCAGCTAACAGATACTGCGCTGGATGTGTTCACCAAGTTGTGCCAAGAAATCTGGAGAACAACCACTTGGCCAACTGACTGGAAGAGATCTATATTTGTTCCCATTCCAAAGAAGGGTGACCCAACAGAGTGTGGAAACTATAGAACAGAGTGTGGTTACATATTAGGGAATGAATATTGGTTATGGAAACTTCTCTGATCCTCAGTTTTCTCACATGTAAAATGGGTGATAGTGGCACTTTCTTTGCTATTCAGAAGGGAAGTAGTGATAACAGAAATTTTAAAACAGGAAGTAATTTATCTGAAACATGAAAACACTTTCTAGATGAGCAGGCAAAGGTATTCACTATTAAATGACAACATCCAGAAGTTATGATAAACATTTCTGTATATGTTGATAGTCAGAATTTTCAATTCATCACTGATTCCCAGAGAAGACTGACCCAAATAGGAAGAGGTCAGCATGGTGCAGGAAGAAACATGGTACAATTATTTGGAGCCAGGTTAATCCTTGGCTCAAACTATCTCTTTTAACCTTGTTAAATCAGGCAGAGGATTAGGTAGGTGATCAGGCAGAAAGAAGACTGTGTTGCTATTGCATAAAATTGTTATTCAGATAAAAATTTTACAAGATATGAGGAAGAATCGAAAAGATTTTGTGCTATTGGTTCTATACAGAATCACCTGCTAATAAGAGTGTTGTAAACCGAGGATTCTTCAGCATGTAAGATATGGATGTGTTTGACTTGATTCCATTTTGTATTCATTTTCTAACTTTTAACATTTCTACTTGCTGACTTTCCATTTGCTTATCCGTGATATACATCTCTATTGGTGAGTTCCCAATACTTGAACATCTGACAAATGAATATATATCTTTAAGTGAGGGAAGCACTCTTGGTGTGCTGTGCTTCTTCTCCAATAGCTAATACAAAGACATGAGGCAGAGCTGCAGCTCCTGATAGAATGTTATTAGGTGCTATTGTGTTGGCTCCAACTCACGGCACAAGAGAACATGGAGCCAACCTATCTTCACAATCTCTGACGTGCTTAAGCTAACCCTGGCAGCTATTGTGCCAATAATACATTTTGTTGAAGAACTTCCTCTTTTCCACTGATTCTCCACATTTCCAAGCAAGTCTTTTTCAGCCCCTCCTGATGACATACCCAAAGGACATAACTGTCATCAAAACAGATGTGTTTGTTATTTTGGCAGTCTATGGTAGAGTCCATATTCTTTACCAATACCACAATAAAAAGGCATCCATTCTTCAGTTGTTTTTATTCTTTATCTAACTTTTATATGCAATGGCATGACTGAAAATCCCCCCCCCACCTTGAGTCAGGCACACCTTTGTCCTCAAAGTGATATTCTTATGTGAAGTGGGGGAGGGGAAAAGGAGGACCAATGTGTAAAAATGAGTGAACGAAAATCCAACTTTTCTGTAAACTTCTGTTAAAATCACAATTAAAATAAAAAAATTTCTTTTAAAAAACCAAAACAAAGTGCCATCCTCTTTAGCACTTTAAAGACATCTCTGACAGCCTATCTGTCCAAGGGAATACATCACTTGATGTCCTTACTAAATCATCCATGGGTGTGGGTTGTGGATCTAAAGAAAATTAAATTCTGGACAATTGAAATATTTTCTCCATATACCATAATGTTGTCTGTTGGTTCAGTTGGGAGAAGTATTGTTTTTTCATGTCTAGGTATAATCCATTTTGTTGTTGTGTGCCTTTAAGCTGGGACCCTTCATAGCTGATTCTTCTGCTGGTTTTCAGAGGCAGTTAACTGCATGGGAGGAGACTGCCTATCCTTCTCCCACAGTACTTGTGGTGGATTAGAACTGTGTGTCTTCTGGATTGCAGCACAGTTTCTTATCAGTAGGCCACCAGAGCTCCCTATTTTTTCCCCCTTCTTGTTTATTTTTCATGTACTTGAACAACACTAACACCAATGTTCTTTAAGCTTCATCAGTAATTGTTTTATTCCTTTTTTGGCAAGCAAGGCTGTGCCATCTGGATAACACAGGTTGCTAATGAGCTTTCCTCAAATCCTGGTGCCAAATTTTTCTTCATATAGCCCAGGTCTCAGCATATAGATTTAACAGTGAGAATATACAATCCTGATGCATATCTTTCCTGATTTTAAACCATATAGTATCTCCTTGTTCTGTTCTTATGACAACTTCTTGTTCTATGCACAGTTACTGCCTAAGCATAATTAAATGTTCTGAAATTCTTATTCTTTGTTATGTTACCATAAATTGTTA